TAAAAAAAGCATATACAATCATACAGTGTCATGTGTGCGTATTAATGGACGATTAACGGAGTGGTTCCAGTGTGTCAACGGGGTAAAACAGGGAGGCAACCTCTCACCGACGCTCTTCTCGGTCTTCGTGAATGACCTTGTGACCGAAATCAACAACCTTGACCTTGGGGTCAAAATCGATGACACTTCGGTCTAAATGTTGCTATATGCCGATGATATAGTCCTTATCGCAAAGTCGGAAGCAGATCTACAGATAATGCTTAACCAAATGCATGACTGGTGCAAGCGATGGCGGGTTCTCGTAACACAGAAAAAGTCTAAAGTCGTACACTTTCGAAAAGGCCGCACACAACGGACAGAATATGAATTTAAAATTGGATTGAATGTGCTGGAAATTGTAGACAAATATAAGTATCTCGGTGTTATCATGCATGAGAAACGCGACTATAGTTTTCATTGTGAAATACTTTCAAAAAGTGCCGGGAGAGCTCTCGGATCTATTATAAATAAAATTCATAATCTGAAACAAACTGGATTTAAAACTTACGAAAAACTATACAATTCCTGTGTTATACCAATATCGATTACTGTGCTTCCATTTGGGATATAAACACTACCAATCAGCGGAAAATATTCACCACAGGGCGATACGGTACTTTTTAGGTGTACATCGATTTACACCTATATTAGCGTTACTCGTGAAATTGGATGGCTACCCAGCATGTACCGTAGATGGCTCGCAATGATCAGGTACTGGAATAGACTGGTAAAACTTGATGAGAATAGACTAACCAAGCGTGCATTCAATAGAGATTACAGCTCGCCAAATAACAGTAACTGGTGCAGTGATATTAAAACCGTTATGTCTAGACTTCACCTAACGGAGTATTACAATAGGAAACTCGCCGTCTCAATGGACTTAGCCAAAGAAAACATGAACCAGTTTTATTCAACCGTTTGGTCTAGAGATTACGAACGAGTATCAAAGTTGAGAACATATAGAACATTTAAAACTGAGTTTACTTGTGAGGAATATGTTAAGTTGAACTTAAAAAGAAATGAACGGGCTTTATTTGCTCAATTCAGAACCGGAATACTTCCACTTAGGGTTGAAACCGGACGTTATGTGGGTGAATCCCCTGCACAAAGACTGTGTAAGTTGTGCAATAGCGGACTAGTTGAAGACGAGACTCACTTTCTTGTTGAATGTGCTCTTTATAGTAACCCAAGATCTGTTATATTTGGAAACATTTTAAACTGTGATGAATTTATACGCAAATCAAACAAAGACAAACTTGTTTTCTTGGTTCAAACTCACCCTAGAAAATGTGCAAAATTTATTGTTAATGCTTATTATATCATAAGTAGTATGTTATATACTAGTATGCGGTGATTTTCATCAGTAAATACCTTAGATTTTCATCCTTTATTTTGTCTGTGTAAAGTTGTACATATATATGAACCTCATGTAACATTATCGATTATTACCCACATTTTCTTGAAAAGGTCATTTGTATTAACTTTTATTTAATTTATAATACGGATATATTGTAATTTGAGAAACAGCTATGACAAATTTCAACTAAATGTTACGGTATCACGACAACTCTTATGATATTAAGCGTTTATACTGACTCTATACAAATTAAGTTTAATACAGAACAATTATTCCTAATGTTTAAAGTAGTCATTTGTTATTTATGTTTAAACGTTAATTTTGCCTCTAAACAGCTATTATATGTAACTATGTTACACAGACTCTTATTATTTCAATTGTCCATTTGTATATATTCACGTGCATTTTACACTGTTGTTAAGGTGACCTATAGGCCTATAAGGCCGGGTGTTCTTTATTTACATTGTATATATGTAATTTTCATGTACGAAAACACATGTCACTATAATAAAAGATTATTATTATTATTATTATTATTATTATTATTACATAAAATGAGACAACATCTACTATGATTACTTAAGAACGTATAATTATTTAGCAAACAAGGTACAGGACAGTTGTGAACAACATTCGTCAAAGTATAAAGTACATGATAGCATGAAATAATTATATAATTTGTCTGACGAAAAGTTGATTCAATAGTGTCATTAATTCTCATTAAGCCGGCTGAGGTTGCATGCCTCTCCATGGTAGGTGAGACAAGTTAAATAAAAAATGCCAGTCAGAGATGTTGTGACAACGAAATTGATAAAAAAAACATTGTATTTCACTTATAAATTTACAAAATATTTCGGGGAAATTTCGGCATTAATTTACAACTACTGAGCCATTATTTGCTGATTGGGGAATATGACATCCCGAATACTGATAGCCTTGTTAAGTCAGTACAATCTTTCCCGCGCAGTTGACTAGCCAATGGAAAACAATATGTTTTTTCTAACGGGTCATCATCTTACGTCATAACCGTTTTAAGTCAAGGCCAAATCTCAAATTAACGAAGCGCGAAAAGACATAGACGATAAAAGGGGTTCATGATATCCAGTGACAAGAAACTTTCGGTATTAAAAAAAATGTACAAATACGTTTATGGGCTTGAAGTTTAATGTGTGTGATATTTACTTGATTAACATATTTCATATATGCATACATTAAAAGCAAATTAAAAACAATTCGAAAAAAGAGAAATCCTTTAAAATCAATCAACACAAAACATGAATCACTGGTATTTAAAATAGTGGCTTGATAAATTGAAGCATTACTGTCTGTTCAAAAACATGCTACATCATCTAGCATCGGTTCATGCAATATTCGATATTCAGCAACAAAACAACTGTTATACATTAATTGAAATAATTACTACCATGCTAGTTTTAACCTATGCTATTTTTACCGAAAACCATTGTTCTTAGAAACAAGGTGATAGGAAAGTCATGACCGTTTATGTGTTAATACTATCCAGCCTGTTGTGAGCTATTGTGGTTAATTAAAGGGTATGCTTATGCCTGAAATAGGTCATAGAGTTCATGTCTGGAGAGTGCTTGGAAGCTTTTATAAGACATTATCAATGTTGCTTCTCAAAACAAGAGGAAAACTGTTTTTTTTTGGGAAAGTAGTGTTTAAATGAAATATGTTTCTTCCAATTGAAACTTTTTCTTTCCCAATCGAAATTAGTATTTTCGCCTACCACAGAACATTGACCCATTACTATACGCTATCGAATTGAAACCTGACATCTACAATAATGTTAAACCTGAAGACTTTTCTTTTACTGGATCTGTGACGATAAAATTGAATTGTTTGAGAGACACTAGTATTATTACCTTAAATATAAATGGGCTGTCAATAGAGGGTAAGTACTCGTCGTGTTGTTTTATGATACTAAAACATTTACGTTTAGTTACAATACAAACGACGTTATAATATAGACGGTAAGTAATGATGAATGGACAAGGCTCCATCTGTGTCAATTTGAAGCGATGTTGAATATGAAAAGTTTAAGGAGGTGTATGAATAGTTTAATGCCCCCGTCAAATCTCCGACGGAAATGAAATACCGTGTCAAGACTAACAACTCGTCATTTCGAGGAGCGTGGCTTGAACACTCTCCATTTGCAAGTTCAGACAGGGTAAATGTGTCTTGTTGACATAATCATCAAGTATTTTCGAAAATACATATTTTGTATTTACTTAAAACTATTTATTTCTCTGGCTGATATACATTTTTACATAAGATGGATCACATTTCAAATATTTGTACATTATAGGAAATTAATTTAACACTGCTGAAAAAACAATCGAGCGTTTATAATTTGTAGAATTTTCTGATTGTCTAAATTGATGTACACGCACAAAATGGTTAAGTTTTTGAAGAAGAATAATTTTATATTTCCAATTAATGTATAATGTTATATACTCTATATTCAGGACCCGTTGTTGTGAATCTCGAGGGTAGTTCAGAAAACTTGTACAAGAAATATGTGATTGAGAAAGAGCTAGAGTTTTTATACATCCTGACAAACCAGTATCTTAAGGCGGGTAAAAATTATGTGCTCAGCATAACTAAATTTGATGGCCTTTTACGAGCCACCAGTGATGGATTATTTTATGCTTATGATGAAGAAGACGGTAACGAAGTGTAAGTATACACCCTTTGATTTTATCAGGAAACATAGGTCTATAACAGACGTTCTTAAATACAAAACATTCTTCCTTTACATATGGATCTGATGCAAAGTTATTATTTTAATGTAAAAACGCTTCTAATGCAGGAATATATTGCCTTTTTATAATTGAAAGGTTGAAAACTGGTTTGCTGGGTTAAAGTTAGTATTTTTTTATTTTGTTCTTATGTTTGATCTCAGGTATTTTGTCGCAACTCAATTTCAACCGATATCTGCGAGAAAAGCGTTTCCATGCTTCGATGAACCAGCGATTAAATCCCAATACGACGTTACTCTTGTGAGGAAGAAATCAGTGTTATCGTTATCCAATATGCCACTTTCTAATTCGACTAACAGGTGATTATCATGGTTTTTTTTTCAAATCTTCTATGGCTTTTTATGGGAAAATTTCCTAAGCATTTATCACTACAGCAAGGTTCATGTTCATGTATAGTAAACATGTTTAATTTAGTGTAAAATAGCCAATATATTATTTAACGGACTGCATATTGAAAGTACATTATCGCCCATATTACCTTCATTAAATAAGTCTCAATAACAAGTCTTTAATAAGTGCTTTTACTGAATTTTTTTTGCTTTATTACACATGGTATTTTGACCATTTAAAATTTCCATTGCGTAAAGTCCTCACCCTATATATTTTGAATATAACCAGATACTGACATACCAAAATTTGAGGTGGTCCCTCCCTCGGAAGCAATGACAAACCAAGTGATATTTCGTATTTATATGCGATCTGCCTGCCAACATAAAAACAATCCATTTTTTAACTTGATGTATAAAAAATGTAGATTGACAGATTTCGATTTTTATTGTACTTATCTATTCATTATGAAAGCTAAATTTGCTTTTAAAATAATATTTTAGAGCCAATGGTTGGATAGCAGATACATTTGAAAGAACGCCAAAGATGTCTGTGTACCTCCTAGCTTTCTTTGTTGGTAACCATGAGCATCTTGAAAAGACGACTGCAAATGGTGTCAAAGTAAGAAAATACTTAATGTTATTTCTCTTTTCTTTTATTCTTAAAACAAGCAAATGAAACACAAGCAAAAATAAAATGGAACTGTAAAAAATATTGATGAAACAAATCAAATTTAATTACATCTTAATATATATTGACAGTTTTAAGGTAGAACGCAACATCTTGCAATCTTTGGAGAAGCATCTTCAAAATTGGCATGTTAAAAGTTGACCATATTTTAATAAGAATTCCATTGATTTTAAATATTTCAAGACATTGTTTTACACATGACGTCAGATTTGACCTCCAAATCCGTTTTAGAACATGACGTCGTTGCTTTTTGTTGGCAAATGTTACGGATATCACAACGCCATACTTAAACTGAGGATACATTTCAAAGGAAGGTTAAAGACAAAAAATCAAAAATTTATTGCTAGAATTGTTAAATAAGCCGCTTCAAAGCTGAAACTGTAGCTAAACTGAATGCCAAATATTACTAAAAAAATTGCCAATTTTCTTTCCAACTTTCACACATTTTCCGGCGTAAAACGATGCATGAAGGAAAATATATTTTCCTTTGAGTACTGTAGAATTTAAGATATTTTGTCTGCCGATAACATTGTGATACTCCTAAGATTTACCAAGGATACGAGACGACGTCGTGTTCTAAAACAGGCTTTGGTGGTCAACCTTGACGCCATGTGTACAAAATAAAATGGCTTAAACTATTGGAATAAAATAAACGGAATCAAATCTGAAACATGGTCAACGTTTCACATGCCAATTTGCAAGACGCTACTTGAAAGTTTGTAAAGTGTAGCGTTCTACCTTAATTTGACAAAAAGTTAATTGTTTAGATATAAAGATGCATTTAAAAAATTTGAAAAATAAAATAAATAAATAAATAAATAACTTGCAACTTTGTCGTTTAATCAAATTATATAGCTGTTTGCATTATCTGAAGTTAATGTGTGTTACAAAGGAAATCATTTCTTTGTCGTTTAATTATTTATATAGCCGTTTACTAAAAATGCTGCATAATTTGAAAAATAAAATAAATAAATAACTTGCAACTTTGTCGTTTAATCAAATTATATAGCTGTTTGCATTATTTGAAGTTAATGTGTGTTACAAAGGAAATCATTTCTTTGTCGTTTAATTATTTATATAGCCGTTTACTAAAAATGCTGCATAATCTGAAGTTATCTTTTTGTTTCATTGGGAATCATTGGAACGATACGTCTCTGATTTAAGTAGAAATCGTCTTTACTTACTTGCTAATTTTACATAGTATTGTTTGTGTATTTCATTTTTTTTCTATTATTTGTCTTAGTTTCGTACATGGTCAAAACCTAGTGCTATCAATAAAACAACTTACGCTCTAGATGTAGGTGTAAAGATGCAAGAGTTCTTCGCAGATTACTTCGCAGTATCCTACCCATTACCAAAGCAAGGTAAAGATTTTGAATATATCAACGATTAATGCTGACTTAGCTGTGATTTCTTGCAGCATTAGCTGAACATACTTAAAATGAGCCACGACACGACAAAACCAACATAATGGGTTTGCGACCAGCATGGATCCAGACCAGCCTACGAATGCGCGCAGTCTGATCAGGATCCATGCTGTTCGCTTACAAACCCTATTACAAGTAGAGAAACTGATAGCATGGATCCTGATCAGACTGCGCGGATGGTCGCAAACCTATTATGTTGATTTTGTCAAGGCGCGGCTCAACTGTTTTAATATGTTGATATAAAATCGCATAAAATAAATACAAAAAAAATATACTTCAAGTTCAAATTGTTACTTGTGGTTGTTTGGGTGTTAAAGGTAACAAACCTCCATGTATTTCGTAACAATGGTTTTATGGACTCTCAAATATTTAGACAATCTTGCAGTCTTGCAATACGAAGCTCTCAAACGTTTTTTCGTCGGTGTTAAGTAATAATTATTTGGAAATTATACTCACGTATGCATTTAACGTTGAAATATATATGATGATAAAGATTGTGTTATAATGTATGATAATAAATTATAACAAAACTGTAGACAACATTGCGATATCAAATTACCAAGCGGGTGGAATGGAGAATTGGGGACTTATAGTTTATTCCGACAATGCGATGCTGGTAGACCTGGACAAGGATTCCCTCAAGTCAATAGAAACAGCAGCAAGCATAGTGTCGCACGAGGTTGCCCACACAGTAAATATTTTTTCTATTGGTATATACTATATGATATTACTAAATGTGTGAAATCAATACACCATTTAAGCGATGTACAAAGCTGTTTATGTTCAATTCTTTACTTATGTAAAAAATATTTTTTATATGTTACACTCCATGAAAAATATTATTTAATAAAATTATTACAGTGGGTTGGAAATTTAGTGACGACTCACTGGTGGGATGATATTTGGTTGAATGAAGGATTTGCAAGATTTTACCAATATACTGGTGTAGATGTTGTCCATCCAGACTGGAACATGGTAATTGATTCTCAATTTATACATTGAACTTTATTTTACACAATTATTATTTAACCACAATAACATGATACATGTACTTACATCTGTACATTACAGAAAATGATACAGGTTATTCAATTTGTTTAATGTTATTATAAAGAATTTTTTACTTCGAACACATTAATCATGAACTTGAAATTGCTGTTTAACATATCCATAACACATATATCACCGACAACTGAGGCGTTCTCCGTAAAATACACATTGATAAATATCTTATACAATTGACGATATTAACACGACATATTCGATATTAACACGACATATTCAGTGGCAAGCACTTGATATACAATGTAGGGTTAACGCACGTTTTTTCGTGTTATAACGTCTGCAGAGTCCCGAGGAACGGTTGGTGCCCGAGCCCGGTAGGGGGAGGGCTCCAACAGTTCCGATGGACTCTGCAGACTTTTTAACACGAAATAAACCTGCGTTGACGCTATTATAGCATAAAATTTAAAAAAAAAGATTCATGATGTATATTTAATACAAAACACATGTATTAAATCCTTGTTCTTGGACGGTATTTATCCAATTATACATGTTTTACGTATGCGTTTTATTTTTCCGTGGCCAACTACTTGGGAAAGTCAAATGCTCAGAACCGTTCGAAAATTCGAATTTTAATTGATTTAAAAAACATTAAATTACTCTGCCCAAGATGAAACATGACCCTCAAAAATTCTTAGAATGATTTCAAATTGACGGTAGAAAAAAGATCAGTGTCATCAGATTTTTGTTTTCAAGCTCACAAGTTTATAAAAGAATATCAGGCACTAAACATTATTCTCTCAAAGAAATATAAATAGCATTTATCAATATTAACATCAATAAAACAACATTTTCTCATATTCATTTGTGTTATCTTGTTTTGTAAGTTAATTGGAGGGTTAAACTGAATGACATTTATTTGTTTACATTGACAACTGTCCGTTTCTTAGAAAGGGGCGACAACCAAGATAAGCGGCGATGTCTATACGCCGTATTTCCGGCATAGTTACTTGAATGCTGCTCGCCGTTATGCGATTGAGGCCTTCAATAAACAGGCCAAATCGTCAGTTTTTTTGTTTGTTTACTTGGCCCTGTATGTATTGCGCATAGGTAAAACCGGGCTATAACAAGAGCGCGTGACTATGTTAACGCATGGTTTTGGCCCCGTTAAAACATGGGCAAAAAGGGGAAAATAGCCGATTTTATGCTATAATGACGTTTATTATTGACAGCAGCGGGGAGCTCTTTAGTCCAATAGACACAACTCTTTATTTTTCTTCTATTTAAGTGGGACAAGTTCATCAAAGATATACTACATAATGTTTTACTTATTGATGGAAACCCAAGATGGACCCATCCTCTTCACAATCCTGTGTACAAATCAAAGGACATAAGCAAAAATATATTTGGTTTTATTCCGTATCAAAAGGTATGTTTGTCTGCATGAGGTTTAAATTGACCTTTTACAATTCACTCATATATTTGGTTATGACAATACAATATCGAATATTTTTAAAGATAGGCACTTTGAGTCACTTTTGTAGTGGTAATATTTGGTTGCTATTTTGTTCTTGTATTAAATTTAAAGTCTTGAAGTTGTTGTTTATACCCTTTGTTATTTTGCGATACCAGACCTGTTGCTTTTATCATGCTTTTATCTACAAAATTCTCATCATTATTTGAATAAATATAACCGGCTTTTGTTTTATTTCAAGGGTGCAGCAGTAATACGTATGTTGAGTTTCATAGTTGGCCAAAACACATTTCAAAAGGGAATGAAAGTACGTCGATACTACAATTTCTAATGCCATTCATATCAGAAAAATAGAAATAAGAAAAGGAAATGCTTACGTTTTCATAAAATTAAGCTGTACTTCGTCTATTGCTTCCAATGCTGAGAAGAAATTCCAAATTTTGTAATGTTCGCTTGCAAATTAAAACTTATTCAAAAATAAAAATCTACATGACAAGCTTTATTAAGAATATTTTGAAAATAGAGTGAAGCTAAGCTGACAATAGTTTAGTTCATGCTTTAAATAAGTGGATTTAAAATTATCACCTTCGACTATATCTATTTTTATTTTGAATTTTAGAGATATATAAAAGAAAAACAGTTACAAAGCAGTGACTAATGATGATCTTTATTCTGCTATGGAAAAGGTAATGCATACAATTAGTATTGAAGTGTTAAGGTAATGAAATGGATTTAAAGAGCAAGTAGATTTAGAAAAAAAAATATATTCAGTTACAAGGGAAAAGACAAGAAATGAAAGAAAAGTAAAAGGATTGTATTGAATATCAATGAAAGTTATATTTCGGAAAGAGTTTCTAAAAAAGCTTTCAAGCTTACTACTCAATCCGTACTATTTATAGTGGGGCGGGAAATTGAGAAAATAGTGCAAATTGTGATACAAGCATGAAACTTTCAGGAAATCATCTTTAGACCATGTAGATTTCAAAAGTGAAGTGGGCCCAAAAATATCTCTGCTCATTCAAGATGGCCGCCATTTTCAAAATGGCCGCCATATAAATTTGAGTACATTCTAGCTCATTCATTCCAATTTTTTGTACAGACCTTTAACTCACACCAAAAGCATGCATATAATTTCTCCCTTCTCAAAAATTTAAATCTCACAAAATTTCTCTTTCATACTTCTTCCAAATCCAAGATGGCGCGTCCAATATGGCCGTCGATTTTGTGCAAAACTGTTATATCATTTTTATAGTATAATTTGTTGCACAAATTATGTTTATTATGATAAAAAAAGTGTTTAAACATATCAGAGGTAATCAAATTATATGTAAATCTCAATAAAAGTAAACATTTAAAAAGTTTTTGTCTAAAAATATCTTTAAAAAAGATCAAGAAAAAATTCCATTTTTTTCATATTTTTTCAAATTTGATTTTCTAAAGTAATGTACAAAGTTAAAACAGTTACTTTATATCTTAAATTGTATTTGACATTTCATTAATATCATGTGTTTATTGTAAAGAATGTAAGAAAAGCATTAAATCTGTAGGTTTTATATTTTGTGAAAGTGGGTGGGGTAATTTTATATGATAATTGTGAAAGAAAAAACAACAGAAAATCTACATAGCTAAGTTCATTCTATTTCTTTGCCTTCCTTTTTACTTTTCTATGAATTCTTATGCAAATGTTCCAACTTATAAAGTACTTTTTATTGGATGAAAGTATTTTTGTCTTCCTTCGGGCTTTGGTGGGTGAGCATTTGGTGGGTGAGCATTTGGTGGGTGTATACATTCAGTTATTAAATTTGGTTGCATGATAATTCTTGTTTCAATATATATATCATATATTAATTGTTAATCGTAAAAGACATATAAGAAGACAATAAATCAACTAAACGTGCTTAAAAAAGCAAACATGTACTTGAATGCAAGGTATAAAGGTAGTCTATAAACGCATATTTTTGACTCCTCCACAATTTTATATTTATAATATAAACATGGCTTAAAAGCCAACAAAATGTATGTGATGTAAAACATATATATCAATGATATGGCCTGGCCTGCATGCAACTTTTTGAAAAGTTAAGATACAAACTAAGTGTACTAGTATTTCCTAAAGTAATCATATCTTATATTTTTCTTTCAATAAGAGGGTAATGATGACCCTGGATCACTCACCTAAGATCATTGTTGGAAAAAAGGTAACAAGATCATTTTGGGAGTGTCAATTATGTCATAACACACATGATTTGTGTCATAACTGAATCCGGTTGCTTTTAAAGAAACATGCTCAATATCTGCTTTCAATTTTTTATTTCACACGAGAGAACTTTAATAACAATATCTATATACGAGTCCATATAAATTAGTGACCTTTTGTGTTTGGTAAATTTGGACCATGTTGTCCATGATATATCATTATTATAACATACTTAATCATGATGATTTAATGTATATGCGTCGGATAGTGTAGGTTAAGAGAAAACAGATTTATTACAGTAGTCTTTGTAAATTAAGTGATACCATTGCAAAACCATTTTAGACTGCAGTAGCATCATACAAATTTATGCATGTTATATCAGTCTACATACCAAATATCTTATTTCAAGTCAATGAAGTTTAACAATAGATGTTCTTAATGTGTTTTCCTATACAAGTCTGTGAACCCAGGTGGCTCTATGAGCATGATTCATTAAATGTGTTAATAAAGACCCAAGGTGGTGTTACATGCCAGCTTAGTACCAGTGCTCTATGCATTTTGATTTTTGAGAAGATTTTTTTATTGCATGTACACTTTATGATACAAAAGTGTTTTATGTAACTTTTAAAGAGGTCTTCTTTACTTGGCAAGGTTATATTTTGACTATCTAAGCTCTAGGCATTACAGTTTGTTTGTTTGTTGATTTTTTTTTAATAACATCAACAACAAAACAACTTCAATGCGATTCCCTACACAAGTCTTTAAAAACTGTGTTCCTCGTGAGGGCCTTTAAATCATGTTCCTGCAGTCCAAAATGGCTTTCCCTGTCACTTAGTTTACATTGACTTATACATTTGTATATTAAAATTCTTCTCCGAAACTATGTGCACAGAGAAGAGAAAATATTGTATATCATAACATTGTGATGCTATATAAAGATTATAAACTATTGGCATAGGGTCAAAATCACTTAGTTTATATGGACTCTTATTGGAATATAGTTATATGAGTCTTCTTGTAGTTCTGAGAGCCTAGTTATTGGACATGATTCTTTAAATCATGACTGGTGAAAAAAAGATACTCCTTATATGATTTTAGCATTCTTCAATTTAAAAAGAATTATAGACCTTTTCCAGCAGTGAGTCTTAGGCGCGTGATCTAGGGTCAACAATTGCTCTCTTGTTTTATAGGAAAAATAAAGTAGGAATACATTTAGTTTATATTTCAAAGTATAAGCTATGTTTGTTATGTGGGTCAAGCGGTTTTATTGATACCTATTTTAGCACACCTAGTCATTAGATAATATGATGTATCAGTCGCCTAAATTTTTGTTTCTTTTGAAAATATCATGTCTACATAAGTTATTAGAAATGGACGGTACTTATTCAATCATACTTGGTTACAATGATGTGCAAGTAAATATAACTTTGAATCATTCTGTTACAAGCTCAAAATTTAGCAAGACTAAATTGTGCAGGAACTAATTGTATTCATAAATAGACAACATTTCACTAAGGTCCAGGCATGATTTAATCTAACATATGGTTCGTTGATGAATAATTATTCAATCTTCTTTCTGTACAATTATCAAGTTATATTATGACTATTGAAACAACTTATATCATGCAAACACATTTAATAACTGAATGTATACATATGATTATATCTGCATTTATTGATATTTTAGTACACCCTCTAGACCTGAAGGAAAACAAAAATACCTTAATACAATAAAATACTTTTACAGTGAATATTTGCATAAGAATTCTTAAAAAACGTTATTTTGTACTACAATTGTCTGATAAATTTATCCCACCCACTTTTAAGTATAAAACCTTCACATTTTTTGTTTTTGTTACAATTATACAATAAAACATAGTGTTGATTGAATATCAAATACACTTTAAGAAACTATGTAACTTTTGGAATTTTGTACAATAGACCTAGAAAACCATGTTAGAGAAAAATGAAAAAAATGGCACTTTTTCTTTGATTTTTTTAAAGATTTTTTTTGTACAAAAAACTAAAAACATGACTTACAATATGGTTAACCTAAAATTTGATTGTTTTTCTAATATATTTCACAATTTTATATGGAAATACGCATACCGTGTGCAAAAAATTATACTACAAAAGAGAATTATCAGTTTTCATTAAAATTGGCAGCCATATTGGACGCCATCTTGGATTCTGAAGAAATATGCAAGAGAAATTGCTTAAAGATTTAAATTTTTGAAAAGGGGAAACTATATGCATGCTTTGGTGCAAGTTTCAGGTCTGTACAAAAAATTGGAATGAATGGTCTATTATGTACATCAAATTTATATGGCGGCCATATTGAAAATGGCGGCCATCTTGAATGAGCAGAGATATTTTTGGGCCCACTTCACTTTTGAAATCTACATGGTCTAAAGATAATTTCCTGAAAGTTTCATACTTGTATCACAATTTGCACTATTTTGACAGCAGAGACCTTATTTCCCGCCCCACTATTATTATTTGTCAATTATCATGTAAATGTAATACTTATAAATAAAATATTGTTTAAACTAAACTAAAAGTTATATTATAATGATAAAAAAGATAAAGATGACATTGGTAAGAAAAGTAAGAAAAGTAAGCATGAAGTTAAAATTGAAACAGTAAGGAGATAAATGTTCTATTGAAGAGTTTAGATTATAAAAGAAAGCATGAAAGAAAGTTGATAATGGTGCGTAAAGGTGAAAATAAATGAGCCGCGTCACGACAAAACCAACATAGTGGGTTTGCGACCAGCATGGATCCAGACCATCCGCGCAGTCTGATCAGGATCCATGCTGTTTGCTTACCAACTCTATTACAAGTGGAGACACTGATGGGGGGGGGGGGGGGCGGGGGGAGTGTAGATTATAAATTGTAATATGCAGATTGTATTGTAATTCTCAGCCAGGTCAGCTTAAAAGCAAAGTAATAAAATATATAAAAGTGAAAATGACAAAGGATAGTATAAATGGTTGTAAAGTGTTGATGTGAAGAAACTGTGAAAATATTTTTTTAAAGAGGTTTTAATGAATAAAAGAAATTATATGAAAGAAATTAAGAATAAAGAAGTCACCAAATAACCTCATGTATTGACACAGAAAGCAATATCAAGG